TCGGCGGGCACAGACCACTCTATCACCAGTCATTAAGACTGCTGCTGTACTTTGAATAGTGCCGGTGCCCGGTATTGTGCCGGCCAAACCTCCGGGCACTTATCGGCACTATATAGGGACCTCAATTACTACTGCTCTAGCTAGGTAAGTTCGACCGGCGGGGTGGGGGGGGGGGGGGCGGNGGGGGGGGGGGGGGGGGGGGGGGGGGGGGGGGGGGGGGGGGGGGGGGGGGGGGGGGGGGGGGGGGGGGGGGGAGCGGAGAGCCAGTTCTCATCGTTGGAGTTGGTGTCTTGTGCACGAATACCCACGGGCAGCAAGCACACTGGCCGAGAGGGGCACACAGTGGCAGCCACCACATCGTTCATCTTCGATCCAAAGCAACCGGCGGGCGCCGTAAGCGTCGTGCAATTGAAAGAAAACGCGCAGAATCGACTTTGTATCGGTTCGTGGATCCAAAGCCGAATTTGAAAAGTCTGTTTTATCTGTTTACAATAGGCTAGTCGAAAGAGAAGATATTCCCTTGAAAGACGGAACGTACGGCCCGGGTAAAGTACCAAGCAGTTCGGGCCCTTTGCCTACAAAAGGGGGACCGAAGCGGTTACGAATTGGCTTCTTATTTGGTGTGCGACAGGCTCAAAGCTGCTCGGGGATATGTACCGCGGGTAGACTAAGTAGACGACACTCAAGGTGTCCAACTTGTAGAGGGAAGGGGCCCTCGTCGGGCAGCCCAAGCCGTACCAAAACATGCAGAAAGTAGACATACGGGAACTTCCCTGGATACAGCAAGACATGTCGTGGGTATATGAGATTGCGACCCCTCCCCTCTCTCATACACACATTACGTATGCAACTCACATGCTCGTCGAGCTCAGCATGGCGATCGGCCGTGCTCTTTGGTCCCTTTTTCGGCTGCCTCGCGCGCTTCCTCTTCACAGCAGTATCTGCTGCAACCTCCACTCCTGACGCCGCATCCGCTGCACTCTCTACGCTCTTCGAGCTCCGTGTGCTTGCTCTTCGCATGTTGACCACGAGCCCCGCCGTGCGCGTGGAGCAAAACAGCGGAGAAGGCAACAACCAGCAACCTTAGGACAGCACAGCACACCACAGCACGCATCTCAAAATGGGGAGACTAAATAGGGGTCCCGAAAGACAAAACAGCACCCCCATGCGTTAGCTGCCACTCAGTGTGGCACCCATTTCATGTGTTGTCCGCAGATGCAGCCAAACACAGCAAATGTGTTCCGAGCTAGACCCAGCCGTCACACACACTCTCTCTCTCTCTCTCTCTCTCTCTCTCTCTCTCTCTCTCTCTCTCTCTCTCTCT